GAGAATTGTTGATAATATTTATTCTTTTACATTTAGTTATTTTGGATGTGAGTTTGGGTTATATGTACTAAATTAAGTTTATTTTATGATTTAGGAGATGATTAGAGTCAAAGGATCAAAAGTGTGTTCATTTGGGTGAAATTTCAATTCTAGCATATCGACCTTTAAAGAATAAATAGGGATTTCACATCCTTAGAGCTCTATAACGTAAAAGAAGCCTCTCGAGAATCAAAGTGGACATCTCAAGCTTTCTATATTATGTTTAAATGCATATATATATATATATATATATATATATAAGACTAAGATGATTCAAAAACCTACATAAATAAGACATCCGGGCCTACAATCTTCGTGAAGAGCTCAATTCTAGATTCTTCTACTTTTTGACCCTAAATCAATTCGAAAGTTTTAGAACATAATCTAGAGTCCTAATCAACAACAAGTCCAAGTCAATTTTGGGACTGGCTAAAATAGGACTTTGTTAGTCGTCATATTTATCTCCTTACATGTATAAATAGCCTCTATAGATTAAATTAAAGAAACACTTATACATAATTTCTTTTATATAATTTAGGGTTTATTTCTTCAAAAACATATCTAGCTAATTTCATCAATTCAATTCAAGGAATTTCAACTTGAATTTGTAAAAGATTATAAGGAGTTTGATCTTTAATTATTCTTTATGATTTGAGTATATTTTGTTTCTTTGAGCTTAATTAGTTGATTTTTGAATTTAATTAATCATGATTGCATAGGTAATTATCTAAGGTGGCTAATTAGTTTATTATCTATTGTGATTGATAGCTAGCTAACTCTGTTAATCCGTAATTGTTAAGAAACGTTTGTATAAGTACCAAATTAGATTTGTTTGCCTAGGAAAATGAAAAGGTTGAATTAAATTATTTAGGCATCCTAAAATTATTATTCGAGTCTTAGCTATCTTTTTAATTCTTAATGCTATTATTGATTAGAGTAGGATTGCATCGATACCAAAATCAATCAATAATAAGAATTTAATTCAAACGCAGAATTTTGAGTTAATGAATTTAGGAAAGACTCGGATTTATTCTAACACCTAAGTAAATCTAGGCTAAGTATTCAATGAAAGTGTAGTAATTTAGATGTCGAAGATCAATCTATAAATTGAATGTTTGAATTTTTTCTTAAACTAAATTTTCCTTAAATTGAAATCTTTCTTATTTTATAAGTGCTATCTTTAATTTTAGCTTTGCAAACAACAAAACGCCTTAGTTTTTAGACATAATAGAATTTATTGACGAGTCTTTAGGGTTCGTCCTGAATTTACCCTCATTTCTAATTTCACTAAAAATAGTAAATTAAATTTGTCGCATTCGACACGTATAAAAATTTTAGCCTTTTGCTTCTTCTTTTATGACTTAGGAGGATGTAGAGAGAGAAAGAGTTGGAGCCAAACCTTATACCTCATTAATCCAAAGGGATGACACGGGAACCTAAATATTGGCGGCAAGAATAGCTTTTAGATTAATTTCCTATGTTTGGGCATAAGTCTTATTAGTATAATGATTAGTACCACGATGGATTCTTAGCTTCTTCGCAACATTTAGAGGCGAGAGGGGGATCCGTAATGTAATAATAAATCTTCAATAATATTGTTCAAAATGAAGAAGAACATTTGAATAAAAAGGAAGTAACTTTTTGAGAAATCTTTTAACCTTTACGTGATAGTTTGGAGATTGGGTTCCTGTCTTCATCTTCTTCACCTCCATCACTACTAAGATATTAAGGAGCATTTAGATAAGGATTTTTCTTATTATTAAATATCAATTTGGTGAGTTTTGAAAAGGCACCACGTAAAGGTTCTTCACAGATTACAATCGCGGATTCAATGCTAGAATCCTTAAAATGAAAACACCGCATTGTTATAGTGCATCAAGAATTGAAAGAACATGTATGTCCGAGCTCTAGTTGACTTCAAGGAAGTTCAATTATAGAACCATGCGGTTCTATGATCTATTCCAATAAATGCTGAATCATATCTCCTTTAAGAGACTTCCTATCATGCCTAAAATTATTGTATAATACGAAGGGAGTGATAGGAATATCATAACATAGTCTAAATTGCCTAGAACGAGGTTAACAAAATAGTGCTCCATAATATAAATGTTACGAAGGAACAAAGGAAGTTCCTTGTAAGTCAAGATGATCTTCTAGTAGTCTAAGTTATCTTTTTCTTCTAAAGCACTCTATAGAGTGCAAACTTTGTACCAATTAGGTCCAAACCACTTGAAATGGAAGGAAACCCAACGAAGTAAGAAGTCACCAAAGTAGACACTATAAACACAATCTTCATGATCGATTATATTGACGGTAGCAACATAAGCATTAAAATAGTCTCTATATATAAGATAAGACATATTGAGATTAAAATCTAAAGACCTAGATACTAGGTTTTGAAATTAGACGAGTAGCCCACAACACAATCGACCAAAAAAGGAAAGGGGAATTCTTTTGAAAAAGGTGAGCAAAAATAGCTTAAAATGTGCCATGATTGGCATAAGTAAAAAAAGCAAAGGTGCAAATGCAACGAGCTCTACATACCTAATAGCAACGAACCATTAAAAGATACCTTGTGTTCACAATGATGCTTCTACAACGGACAATATACTTACAAAATCATAAAAGGTAGAAGCCAACCTGTATAGCTTCAATATCTTTGAAAGTTGACAAAGCTCGAGCATAAGTAGAATAGGATCATTACCACCACCACATCTAGAAAATCAACCTTGTACTGGGCATTTAAACTAATTGATGCCATGACATTATACGGATCCAACCCCGCAAAGGAATAACCGATCAAAGACACTACGTCTTTTAGAATGATGCCTATAAAAGCCCTTTTCATGTGAATACAATTGTTAGTAGTATACCATAAACTTAAAATAGTCCCAAGAAGAGGAGGATTAAGATAAAAAAACATGGTTAATGGTTAAGTCAAATACGTCAAATATCCTTATCTTTTTCCATTTACTTCAAACACTCGGAATGTTCTCACAATGCATCATAATGAAAAGTAATCTCGGATTGAGGGTTTGGCCATGTTCTAATAGATTTTAGAATAAATCTTAAAGTGATTCCACTTCACCTTGTTTTGCGAAATAGGGTAACAACAAGGGAATGTGGCCCTTTCATCGGGAATCAAACATCCCAAAAGTACTAGTACTTTTTGAATGTCATCTTTAGACCTATAAGCCCAAAACAAGGAAGGTCTTATGTCATGAGGTTAGGTGTTGACATGGAAATTAGCAAAAGTCCCATGAACCTTAGTAAGAGGGGATAACAAATTGGAATGGATTAAATAGGGGTGATTAGAAGGAAAAGATTGGATTTGACGCTCTAATTGCGAGGCCACCCTAGATAAAGATTCGAGTGGGGAAAGAGATTTACGAGAATTGGAAGGAGATTTGTTATTATAAGCTATAGAGAACGAATGATTTATGTATTGACTAATTAAAAACACAAAAGAAACAGAGAGAATAAAACCCTAGAATTGAAAAGAAAAAGATCATAAAGAGAGTTTGAATTAGGAAACGATTCATTAGTGGAAGGGCAATTGAAATTCTCCTTGTATTTATACATGGTAATCAAAGAGACATGACCATTGCAGAGTGAAGGGACGTAATAGTTTTAGTATCCATTGCAACATTGGAAATTGAGGGGAGACGAATGAGCACTAAAGCAATTATTTATTTTACACGTGAGAATTGATTAAACATGTAAAAGAAGAAGGGAATATGCCATATTCAAATTTAATTAAGGGTTGGCGACTTAATTAAATTGGCTATAGCCCAATGATGCTTCATTCATAAAGCCTTGAAAGTTATTTGCACATCCAAATCCTAATCCATTAGACAAAATTCAGACAAACCCATACAAGAAAAAAAAAGGCCCAAAAGAGTTTAGAAAAACAAGTATAACTCTTGATAGATCGGCAATATGGGCAAAAAGACATGGGAAGCCAAAACCCTCATGTGTAATAGTGGGTTAACGGAATTGAGTAATTGGAACTAGAAATAAAAAGGACGTGATATGTTGCAATGAACGACTGGAATGCCAAAGAAAGTGGAATGTTGTAGACATGGAGCATTACGATCCAAGGAGGAAAATTATTGTAGTTCAAGAACGTGCCCGAGTATAGAAGAATGTAAACAATTGAAAAGGTTATAAATATCAATTATAGCCACAAGAACAACACACAACGAACAACCCAATCAACTACAATACAATACTCTTACAAATTATCAATTTTATTTTTCAATTCCAACACTCAAAATACGATAGACTATATTTTGTAAGCAATAATTACTTAGGCTATAATCAAGTAGACTGATAAATCATTTCTAGTTTGATTGCCACTTTCATTATAACACATGCATATCTCGTCTCTTGATGTTTGAAGTTTGTTTAGTAGTTCTATCATTTGTAGGTTTTTATGCTTTTGTTTCTATAGTTAGTGCTATTTATACTTTCAAGGTCGGTATTGTTTGTAAAGACTTTTAATTCACTATTTACCCTTTTACTTTTATTCAATTTTACATTCCATAATTATAAACTTGTTGAAGTTAATTATTGTGGGTTAATTTATGCTTTGATTAGAGATACTATTTTCATTAATATCTTGATATTTAGTTAAATTTATTTACATAGTTATTTGCAGCCTAATTGAAAATCCAAAAGATAGACTATCTTTCAACCACGTTATAAAAACTTTTTGTTTCAAAAATCCCCTTAATCAAGGCTGGCACAAAACAATCCATAACAATGTGATAAAGTAATATTATTATCGCATAAATTTCTACCAAAGTACATTTTTCCATTTTTATCTCGGCATCCCCAGCCAAATGCTAATGAAGATAAAAGCTGATATGAAATTGCAGTTGGTAGAAATTGTCAGCCAGCTAGATTTACCCCCTGCCAGCAATTGGTTCCAAAAATTTATGTTGACAAAATGAGCAGTTTCATGATCCCATATCCACTGGAATTATGGCATCATATACTCTCTCGGTAGCTTTCTTTGCCTACATCAAACGAGCAAATAGGAAAAATGAACAAGATATATATGAGTTCGAAGTGAGGTAGCAGTGTAGCACTTCAAAATTAGGGGCATAATAAATTTAAAAAAAAATGGAGTAGAAGCACACAACAGAAGGCTTTCTCACCTCTTGCTCCCAATTAGTACGAATGGTGATAGTGGCAAGAGAAAAAACTTGCACAATGAGTGCACATATTATCCCCAGCCAAAGGCCCTGGAGATAATTTTTAATGGAGACAAGATATAATGAAAATAAATTTCTTTCAATTGAGTGAACCTGATTAATAACATCAAAAGAATTTAAGAGAAGGAAAAATAAAGAATCCATACCTTTCCTCCAACATGCAAGACAAAAGCTAATAAAATGGAAATGGGGATTCCCACTAAATAATATGATCCAAGATTGATGTATGCACCAATCTTCTGCCAACCACATCCTCTGGCATTGCCTAATTGTTCATTACCAGAGTTAATAAGAATTAGCCACAAGATCCTAAGCTTAAGTTGTCAAAAATAATGAGGTTGATGCCAGTAAAAGTTGTGTTGTGGTGGAGAACCTGAAAGAACACATTGGAGTCCATCTAAGAAGCTCGATGTTGCAACAAGAGGCAAAATGACTGCTACATATTTAACAACTTGTATTTCGTTGCTAAAGGCGTAGCCCCAAACATTGCGAATTGATATCAGGACTATTGCTAACAAAATGCCCTCAGTAACAGCAATGGCAATGACAACGCAAACTGCTAAACGTGCAAGGTATGGATGCCCTGCTCCTAACTCATTTGAGACCCGAGTGCTACAAAGTGGACAATCAAACAATTGTAAAAAGTAAGGAATCAGTCCAACAAGGCAGGGATTGGAATGAGGAAACTTGTCAAATATCTATGTCCAGTTTAGCATTACTTACCTGACAGCACCACTTAGTCCATAAGGGATCATCCAAACTGTAGCGGCTGTATTGAGGCTGAGCCCACATATTCATTAGAATATTAAAATTGCAAATTATCTATGAAATAAATTCTCGAAGAATTAAACAGGTTATCAAAACTAACCTAATAGAAAGAACTGAAGTTTCCAACTTCGGATTAGGAAGTAGACCAGACAAAAGAACCACCAATTCAAAAGACCACATTTCCAAGCTGTGTTCAAAGTCAGCATAAAAAATAAAATATTTATGGTTGGCTAAGAGATTATTTCTATTGAATACAAAATGAAAGGTTTAGGAACAGAAATTACCAAACCATAACAGCTGAAGGAATTGCAAGCCTCATAAAATTAATGACATCATGGAAGGCCTCCTTTGAAAAACCAGTCCAGGTTTTTGCACATGAAGAAGAGAACTTGACATAAATTGCCAATAGTAATACATTGATCCAATAAGAGATTGAATTAGCCAAAGCAGCTCCTCTATTTCCAAGGCCAAAATTGAATACCAGAAGCCAACACCAAAGGATGTGAAGTAAAGTTGCAATTCCCGAGCATGCCATCATCGGGAAAACTATGTTCTGAGTCTGTAAGAATTTGACCAGGCATTGAAGAAGACCATAAGCGAAAAGGCTTGGGATCATGAAACGGGCATACAGTCCAGCTTCCTCTGCTATATCTTTCTGTTGGCCGCAGGCAATTAGAATAGGTCTTGTGTTTGCCCAGATGACAGCAAGGGGTATGCTAACAAGTAAAAGAACAAACATGGCTCTCTGCATGTGTATGCCAAGCATGTGAAACTGCCTTGCTCCATATGACTGGCCGCAAAATGTATCAAGCGCACTTGCCAATCCCAACTATTCGAAAGAAAAATCAAGACAGTAAAGAATTTCCGAATGGCCAGAGGTAAGAGCTTTGTTAAACAATACAAGCTGAATCAGACACTTTTGGAAGGAAAAAAAAAGTTCAAAGCATGAAGATAGTAATTTATGAATCATTTAGTCAGACAATTTATTATGGAGGAGAAATGCAGCTTTTAACCGTATTTCAATTTGCTCCAATGAGACGATAAAAGGATCTGCATTAACTGAGGTCAGAGAGTATCGAATAATTCAACTGTTTAGTTGTTTCCTGATGGTTATTTACATGAATTATATCCAACATGTCACCAAATGATGCAGCTTCCCAAAGTGACTCAATGGCCCTTTAAACACATCTTTGTACTTAAAATTTTTTTCAAGATATGAATTTGTTTTTTTTTTTTAATTCCCTACGATACATCAACTGCAAGTCTTCAACCTAGCATAGGATTCATACATGGACCAATCTTAAACCAGATTATGAGCTCTCAGTGTACCATAAAACGCTCACTCACTTTCACTTTCAGCATTTAAGATGTATTAACGATTATGAAACAAGTTTTAGTCATGCTTTTGAACAAAAATAATGACACTCCTGTAATTTGAACATAATTAAAACTAGAGTATGGCAAACCAGATTTTTGATTTTTGGCCGTTTTGAGGTTTTCCCTCTTCGAATTATTAAAGAAGACTAACCTAGTTAGAAATTTTTTTTTTTTTTTCCCTCTCAAACTTTAACTGCAGCCTAACTATTCTCAAAGAAAACAGCAAGCAGCTATAGAACACAAGCGTAGCATAGAAAAACAAAAATGGGCCTACAGTTTTTGTATGTTCTGTTTAACTTGATGCAAGCAGCCTATTTAGCACATTACACCTCAATTCCTTTCATAACATCAAAGATTTTCTACACTCTTCAATTTTTTAACAAGGAAAAGACAAATTATCATGCGCAGATAGCCCTTTCTCTATTAATATTATTATTTGTAGTAGTTAGCTAAAAGATCCCAAGTATGAGTCTTAAAAGGAATGACAGCAGAAAATATTAGTTAAAAAATGGGATGACAAATGACTTTTTGGTCAATTTAGGCGGCGATAGTGCTTGCAGAATAAGGAAGCTAACAACAAACAAAAACGTGGAAAGTCATGCTCTTTTGGACTGTGTATATGGCATGACTTGCTGATCAAACAAGTGGACAAGATAAACACAAAACCTATAACTAAAATAATTAGAAGACTAGATAGAAAAGGGGAATCAGCCATATCAGATCGTGGCAGCTAATCAAACTAATATAAGGATTGTTATTATAATTAGTAGTATTGAAGTTGAAAAAACTCATTTAGTTTTGAGTAATAGCCAGAATATCCATTACTTCTTTTGTTTCTTGCACTTTCGAGGTCTGGATAAAGATAAAGGAGAACATCTTATGCAAAATACGATGATCAGCATCCACAATGAAATGGCTTGGCCAAAAATTTTTAAAAAATTTATAGCATTTATTTGCTAAGGCACACCACAGAGGATGTGAAATTGAACATCCTACACAGCCACACAGGTTATGAATAAACATCTTCTAAATTTATAGAGCAATGTTTCAGTATTGGAGTTGGATGAAACTATTCCCTCTACTTACTGCCATCAAAATCCATCTTTTTAAGCATGTGGTTCTGCCTTTCGAGAAACCAAAATTGCTAACTTCCAAAAACATACACAGCATGAAATTAGCCCTTTAAAGAACATCAATTAATGCTACAGAAACTATATTTTTTAGTAAAATCTTACAATAACTGCAAATCATCAAACACTTGCTCATCACAATTTTTATTTAGCATCCATCACATCTCGGCATATCAACCGATGAAACAGTTCTAGTAAAAGTGTTACCATCCCTAGTATTATTTAGAAGCATCTTATCATTCAACATTTAGATGAGGTAAAAAAGGGTGGAAATCAGAGAGAAGGAGAACCAAACTTACCAGCAAGCTGAAACCAGTGACAGACGCGAAGGAAGTGGCCATTGAAGCACCGGACAAGCTTAACTCACCAAGATGACCTACAAACATCACAGAAATCATTTGTATACAATATTGCAATAGACTCACAGCTATGAGAGGCCCCGCTAGCCATAACTGCCTTTTCACTTCTTCAATAATTTCCTTCTTCCTGATACCCCTTTCTCGGTTTCCCTCCTCATTAAGTCCAACATCATTTCCTTCACATAAAGGTGAATTCAGAGACATACTTTGTTCCTCTCTCTCCATTTTCTTCCAAGAGAGAAAGTAAATGTTACTCTGATAAAATTCCAGTGGTCTTAGAATTTTGGTGAAGCGTGAATATTGAAGATATAAAGTGAAAAATCATAAATATAATAAAGAAACAAATGTAAGAAAAATCATACTTTGCGAATGACTATAATTTACACGAAGACAAAAACTTTTAACTTCAACGGGTACATCATCTCATTGTCTACAGAACCCGACAAAAAAGAAAAAGAAAAAAAAAGCTCCATGTGCAGAGAGAAATTAAGCAATCTTATGCTTCTTTTCAATTTCCAATCATTTGTGGTTTTCTGATGCTCCTTTACAATCTAGTTATAAGGTGTAAGCTAACTTGTGTGTCCCATAATCCCATCGGTCTTTTTTTTTTTTTTTTAACACTCAATTTCTAATAATAAGAAATAAAAATTAAGAAAAAGTACAAAAGTTTACCTGACTACGTGAAACATTAACAAATCATGTGTCTGATTACAAATAGATATATAATACTAGTCGGTTGTACACGATATGCTATGTTCTGATAGAAAAAAAAATCATTTAAAAATTATATTTAATTAATTTTTTTAATGTTTTTATAAACTTTCTATTAAAAAATATAAATTAATCTTCTTTATGAATTGATTTTAAAATAAAAAATATAATAATTTTAACTAAAATATTAATCAAGAATTAAAAAAAATTTAAAATATAATTTTCATAATATTGTATTCTAAAAAATAATTTTATAATTAATGGACACACTTTTACAAAAATAAACAAATGGAGAAAAATTTCTAATTTAATGCTAATGAGAAGATTAATTTTTGAAATTATTTGCACAATGTTACGGAGAGATAGAACAAAATCATTTAAAAATTTTATAATTTTTTCATTATTTTTATTTAATTATTACCATTTTTTTGTGTTTTTCATAAAATTTCTGCTTAAAAAAATATGATTGATTCTTCTTTATTGATAGATTCCTAAATAAAAACTTGTAATAATTTAAATTTGATATTAATTAAGAATTCAAAAGCAAATACTTTAAAATTATATATATATTTTTTATAAGAATGTATCCAAAAAATAAAGTTGCAATTAATGTATAGACTTACATAAAAATTAACCGGTGAAAAAATAAAAATTTATTCTTATTTACTCGTTAGTGAGAAGATTATTTTTTTCAACTATATGGATTAGATTTATATATATTTATTTACAAAATAATCAACAAAATTAGCATAAAAAACTATATTTGAATAATTGGTTGGTTCCTTTAAAAAATTATTTTAATTATTTTATTTCAAATAAATTGGTCTATAATGTTAAAAAAATATTCATAGTAAATAATTTGTATTATGTTGGAAGGTGTATAGTTAATTTTTAATAAAATCAACGATTTAATACTTTTTTATATGTCTTTACCATACCTAATGAACTCAAACAAATTATTTGACATGTACTTTTAATTTTTTAGAATAAAATAATTTTATATTTATATATTTGCAACTATCATTTAAAAATTCTTAGAATTCATGATATATATTATATCAATTTATTTTGAAAAAAAAAGAAAAAACAATCATGTTTTAAAATTTTATTCTAAAATTGAAACATAGAGAAAAATAAATTATATTTTATCAATAAATAAAATCTTATATAAAAAAAATATTAATTGGATAAGAATTTTCATAAAAAAATGATAAATTCAAAGAATAAAATTTTAATGATAAGAGTAATATAAGATGAAGTATGTATTAATTTTAAAATATAAAAAGATAGTGTATTAGAGTGAGTGTGTGTGTGTGTGCGCTGCGTGAAAATGAAAACAATATATATATATATATATATATATATATATATATATATATATATATATATATATATATATATATATATATATATATATATATATATATATATATATATATATATATATATATATATATATATGCCACATGAAATTGAAAAAAAATCACTACAAGAAAATTAGCAATTAGTGACGGAATTTAGTGACGGATTTCAATCTAATTAGAGACAACTTAGGGATGGATTTACGACGGCTCGTAAAAGGTTGGTTTTTGCGATGGTTTAGCGATGGAATAATGAGGAATCATCAAAGACGGCAAAAATTTCGTCGCAAAAAACGCGAGGAAAAAAGGCACCATAATCGGCGATGGATTGGCGATCGCCTTGGAATCTCTAAATGACAAAATTAGCGACGAAAATTATTCTGTCACTATTTTGTGAATTTCGAGGTGGAATGGCCCAAATCACAAAGAAGTTAGCGATGGATTTCATAATCCGTCATTAATATTACCTATGTAGTGACGGAATTGATTTTCATCGCTACTTTGGGTAGATTTTGGGGAATTTTCCCCTCAAAGGCCAAAATGTAGCGACGAAAATTAGTTCCGTTGCTACATTTTGGAGAGGTAGCGACTCTCGCACGAAATTGGGGGAAATTCCCCCTAAAAAACACCCAAGGGTTAAATTTCCCACCAATGTAGTGACGAACCTCCGGTCCGTCGTTACGTCATCGACAATTAGCGACAAGCTCAATGTTCGGGAAATTGGAGGGAATTTCCCCCCTAAAAATACATTTTAAGGGGAAAACCCCCCTCCCGAAGTAGTGATGGAGTCACATCCGTCACTACTTCCCTTATATATACCCCCACCCTTTCTTCTTCATCTCCGTTCGATTCCCTTACCTCCACCACACTTCCTACCGCCGCCCATAAAAAACGACCACCCACATTGCCCCACACCTCCAAATCTCTTCCAAAATCATTTAACAAAGTGAGGGGTATCTTTCTCCCTCGAAATCGGACCATATTTATATTCTCTCTCCTTGATCTCTCGGATAAAACTTTTTCTCTCTAATTGTTATGTTTTTTTTTTCAAATTTTATAAATGTTATAAATGTGTAAATAAATTTTGTTATTTGTTCGTTGATTATTTATTTGAATGTTTTTAATTATATTTTTTTGTTAATTTTTTGTTATGTTAAGTTGTATGTAGTTGTGTAAATTTCTTAATTGTTATTTTATTTTTATGACCGTTAGATTAATTTTGTTAAATTAGATTTGATGGTTATATTAATTTTTAGATTAATTTGTATGTTAACACAAACCTAAAAAAATTGGTTAGTTGTCTATTTTAACATAAGTTTGAAATTATATAATTTTTGATGTAGTTTAGTTAAATTTTGTTGATTATTTTTTAACACCTTTTAGATTTGTTGGTTCTTTCAATTAATTACTAGCTTAATTAGTTTAAATTAATTTAATGTAATTAATTTGATTTATAGTAATTTTGGATACAAATTTTATTGGTTTAATTATTAAAATTGAAAAAAGATAACATGCATAATGATTTGACGGTTTCGAAAAAGAATTGAATAAAAATGTAATTGCAAAATTAAAAAAATGTTAAAATTCAATAAATATTTTATTAATTAATATAAGTAAATAAAAATTTTATTTAGGGTTTAATTAAATTAGATTTAGTTGAATATTTGTTCATAAATTAATTAGATGATAAGGTAATTGAATGTTTTTATGTTCAAAAAATTTAAAATTTCATGTCTTGTAGGTGAAAATGATAATGTAATTATCTTAAATTACTTAAGGTAGTTTGAATTAGGTTAAATGTTTGGTTTAGGTTAGGTTTACATTATTATTGAACCTAAGGTAGAAAATATAAAAAAATTACACAATAAATAGTTAAATATTAAAAAGTTAAGTATTTATGAAAAAAAGGTAATCATGTTTTCAAATAATTATTTAAATATGAAGTTAAATTCTTAAATAAAATTCATAACTAATTAGAGACAAGTATACAACTGATATATTTGCTTAATATTTATTTAAAATTCTTAGGAATGATGGCAAGTAATTGTTTGTCATGGTTTTGCCATTTTTGCGAGTAATTACAAAAAAGAGATATGATCGACAATGGATGAATTTTAGGTTAGTTAATGAATTGTTAAATGATAACTTTGTGAGAGTTATAGAACAATTTTTATCTTTTGTCGTTGAACATCCTAAATATATGGACGAAACCAAAATCAAGTATCCTTATAATTTTATTAAGTGTCGAAATCAAAATTATGAAGAGGCTAACATGGTTAAATATCATTTGTACTCGTAAAGGTTTTGTGCTAAGATATTATGATTGGGTGCATCATGTTGAATTTGAAACTTATATAACGTCTAAAAATTCTAGGAGTCGACTTGTTTCTAGAAATTATTATGTAGGCGAAGGTAGTTCTAGTGAACCCTAAAACTCATATTAAACTATGGTAATAAATGCAGTCGGTCCATCCTTTGATCCTTCTAACACGGAGGAGGTTCCTAATCCTAGTGTTCAGCATTTTTATGATATGTTGAATGCATCATGGAGGGAGATTTGGCCTTGTTATGATGAGCATTCACAATTGTTAGCAGTTGCTCGAATGTTGAACCTAAAAGCCGACTATCATTTTTCGGAGAAATGTTTCGACCATTTATGTGAGATGATAAAGGAGTTTATGCCGCTAATAACTCGTATGATAGATAATTTTTATGAACTAAAGGAGTCGGTAAAGGGGATGGGTTTACCGATGGAAAAAGTTCATTTATCGAACGGGTGTATGATTCATTGAAAAGAAGATCATGAATTTGATAAATATAAATTTTTCAACATCCTTGACATCGAAGTGCTTCTCAAGGATCGGGAAAAGGAAAACTTTCTCTAATTAAGAAAATATACTACTTCTTTCTAACCTTGCATTTGCAACAATTGTATGCATCGAATGCAATAGCTGAGCACATGACATGGTATGCTTGAACATGGGGGAGATGATACGGGAGTAATGCATCATCCTATTGTTTCCATTGCATGGCAAAGTTTCAACCAGATTAATCTTTCTTTTGTAGCAAAAACAAGGAATGTCCGATTAGGAGTGTTCATTGATGGGTTTTAACCATTTAGTCAATCCGATGCACAATATTTCTCGTGGTTGG